AATGGGACTAATTATTACTAAAGAATTATATGATTGATTTTGTCATAATCACATTTTATGACTTTTGACTATCTTTATATGTATAGATTCATATGAAAATGTAATTTTCTAAACAGTGTATGTTTGACAGGGACAAAGTAAAATGCTAATTTTTGCTGGCCAAAAGATTAAGAAAATGTTTCAATTGTATTTTTAAATTATTTTCTGTTTCCTCAAATTTATGTTTACTGCATTTTAAATTATTTCATGTTTCCAAAATGACTTCAGTGAATAAAAATATATAAGAGAAAGTAAATATCTCTAATATCTGTGTTAAATAAACACTGCAAATTAGTTTAAAACAATATTTGACTTTTATTATAAATCTGTATGTGACTTTTTTTTTTTTTGACTACTGGAGGTGAAACCCAGGTAGGTCTCCTCATGAATGTTAGGCAAGCACTCTACTACTGAGTTAAATATTCAGACGTTGGTGTGATTTTTCATAAACCCTCAAATGATAAATCAAAAGCAGAACAAAATGTATTGAGATGTAAATTTTGATAAAATATTTAATTCATTCTGAAAGTTTTTGCTTTTCATTGTTAAATAGATTTATAAGATATATCAGACAGTTGCATATTTTTCCATAAAATATAGTTTTAAAAACCAGGAATTGGAATCTAGTAAAACCCTTACAAAGGTAGTTTGTGTCAACAATGTTCAATAGTTTGTACAATAGTTATTCAGGAAGCTCAACATAGTTTAGAATAAGAAATATACAAAAATTGTTGGGATACTCAGAATTTCTCTATAAAAGCAATCTGTACTTGAAGTTAGTGTAATAAAAAGCAGTGTGTTGTATTTTTCATTTATATGTATACCAAAATATAAATGAAAAAAAAATTAATTGATGAAGACTCTCAAAATGGAAATTTAGTAGGTCGTGGTGGTGCATACCTCTAATCCTAGCAGCTTGGGAGGCTGAGGCAGGAGGATAGCAAGTTTAAAGTCAAAAGTCAGTGAAAGCGAGGTGCTAAGCAACTCAGCAATACCCTGTCAGTAAATAAAATACAAAATAAGGCTGGGGGTGTGACTCATTTGTCAAGTGCCCCTAAATTAAATCCCTGGTACTCCCCTGGAAGTTTATAGTAAAAATAACTCTCTACCACCATCTTCAGATCATGTCCAGTAGGCCTGAATGGTGAATTCTACTAAGTGCTAAGGATGAAAGGAGTAATTGTTTCTACAAATTCTTCCAGAAACCTGAAGAGATGAATTTTCAAATATTTGGAGGCATATTACTTGGCTACCAAAGGTGGATGAAAATATTATGTGTGTGAAAATTCTAAATAAAATATAGCTGACAAATCTAGTGATGTGTAACAAGAGTGACAAATAATATTTGAGTAAATGATTTACAATTTTTAATGTTCAAATATTGTAATGTCATCAACTGTATTAAGAAACTAAAGAAGAAAGCATGTCTGTCACATTTCTATAGAAGTGAAAAAGTTTTTCATAATTTCTAGTATTCATAAACTTTGACTAAACTAATTTTGAAATAAAACTTTCTAAGACTTTTAGTATTCTCCCTTCTTTTCTTCATTTTTATTTATAATTTTTTTGCAAGATCTATTTTCTTTGTCAAGGGGTAACATTATTCTATAATTTCAATAGGATACTTTCTTTAGGAAACTGAATTTTATGTAGGATATCCATAGAATGTTATTATGTCCAAATAATATAACAATAATACATAATTTCTTCTATCATAATAGATTCCTATCACAATATCTCTGCTTTTGTTTGGTATGGTCTATTCACAACTACTCACATGGTTCCCTCTTTAAATGTCAAAATTAAATCATGGTTAGTGATACACCTTCTCCATGCTTATCCAAGACATGCAAAAACGAACATGCAGATTGTTTTCTCTCTCTCTCTCTTTCTCTCTCTCTTTCTATCTCTGTCTCTCTCTCTCTCCTTCACTTCTTTTTCTCTCTTTTACTCTGTGTGTATGTGTGTGTGTGTGTGTGTGTGTGTATGCATGCTTGTATGATTCAGACCATGGAAAACATCCTGAAACACAAATGAAAATCACAAAGATCGATACATTTTACAATTTAAAATTTCCATAGTCTCACAAAAATAATTATAAATATAACAAAAGAGGAAGCTATGGACTAGAGAAAATATGTATAATTGCTCATTTGTTGAATTAATAAACATATGCCTAAGATCCATAGATAAAAATGTATATGTACATAAAAATCACAAAATGAAAAATATCTTATGGCTTATGCATAGAGTTTGATAATAATTTGAAAATACAAATCATATAAAATATTTTTACAAACTCAAAAAATTGACAAAACTATACAGTTTAGGAATACCAAATTGGATTAATGGAAATATTTCCACTCTCCTAACGGAGTGTAATATTGTTAGACATTTTGGAATATAATTTTCATATGCTTAATATTTTTCTAGTTTCAGCAAAATCAGGAAAAATGAATATCTAAACAGAATAACGTGGACAAGTTCAAAACTATATATCTAAACTAAGAAATAAATTTTTAGTATTAGACATTACAAATTTAAAAGAAAATTAACTTAAAAATTAGCTTGTTTATTTTTATTTTTATTATTTTGCTGGGGATTGAACAGAGGGGTACTGTACTTGCTATTTTTTTTTTATTTTGAGATAGGAAGTCCTACTAAGTTCCTGAGATTTTTATTAAGATTTTTACTGAGATTGCCCTAGAATGTGTGATCCTCCTGCCTAACTCTCCAGAGTTGCTGGGATTATTGGTGTGCACCACTATGGCTGGCCATACTATGTATTTTTAATGAGTATGTAAATGTAGAGTTAGTCAATGACAACTTCCACATGAATGACACATAGTAGATGGAGCTTACCTCTGGTAATGCTAATAACTTGTAAGGATCCGAACTAGTAACAAAAGGAAGAGGAAATAGTGTGTTAAGTTTCAACTTCATAAAAGTTTATATTAATGATTAAAGTAAATCAAGCACTAATGTGAATATGTACTCAATTTTATTTTTATGTAAAATTTATTGTGTAAAACAAGTATGTTTAATTTAGGAAAACATTTAGCTATAATATTAACATATCCTAGAGCATTTAAGGTTAGTAGAATCTTAAGTTTATTAAATCATTTAAAAATTTGAGTTAAAAAATGCAAGCTAATGTTTCTATATAAAATGCAATAATTCCACAAACCAAAAGACATCATAAACTAATTGAAAATCTAGTTTATTACAGAGAATAACAAAATTTATTTTAGACATGTATGCAAGTGTTACAGTTCAATCATGATCGTCATTTTAAAAGCAAATAACAAATTGTTCAGTAATCTGGAATTACTGAACTTTTCTAACTTCATTTTTCCAAAAATTATTGAGATAATATTCACATAATATATTGTTAACTATCCTAAAGAAAACAATTTATTAGCAATTATTATATCCATAGTTTGTTCAATCAACACTTTGTTACAGTTTTACAAGATTATCATCACTCCCAGATATCCACTAACTAATGTTTCCTGGTATTTTCCTCCCTTCCATGCCCTGGATACTATAAAATTTGTTCCATCACTGTGTATTTATATCCTCTAAGTATTTCATAAAACTGAATTACACTAAACTTGTGCTTATTTTACACAGTATCTTTCACTTTGGATCATAGTTTAAACATTCATACTTACTTCACTACTTTTCTAAAATTTTTATTTTATTGTAGTGACAAAATTATCACAATATATATATATATATATATATATATATATATATCCTCTTAAACTTTTAAGTGTACAATAGACTAATAATTTTATTCAAAAGACTGTACACTAGATCTGCAAAACTTATTAATCTTCCACAATAAAACTTTGTATATAGCTGGGCAGGGTAGCGTAGAACTGTAATCCCAGAAGTTTAAACGACTGAAGCAGGAGGATCCTGAGTTCAAAGCCAGCCTCAGCAAAAGTGAGGCACTAAGCAACTCTGTGAGACCCTGTCTCTAAATAAAATACAAAATGGGGTTGGGGATGTGGCTCAGTGGCTGAGTGCCTCTGAATTTAATCCCCAGTACTCCCCTCCAACAAAACAACTTTCTACTTTTTGATATGTATCTCCTTTCCCCAGTCCCTAGACAGCACTGTTTTAGTTGCTAATTCTGTGAGATTGACTATTTCAGATATTCATAAAAGTTGAATGGTGTGATTTTGTCCTTCTGTGACTAGCTTATTACATTAACCTCATGTCCTCATGGTTCCTCCACATTGTTAAATATTGCAAGATTTCTTAATCTTTTAAGGTTAAGTAATATTCCATTTCTGAATATGCCACATTTTCTGCATCCAATGGTGCATCTGTGGAATTTAGGTTTTATCTACATCTTGGCTGTTATGAACAGTGAGGCAGTGCACATGAGTGTGCATGATTCTCTGGGATTCTGAGTTTGATTCTTT